CAGGAAAATTGAAAAGTTGAAAATTAACTGTTGAAATTTGTATGCCAGTTGAAACAACCTCGTGATGGATTAACGTGCTGAATCCGATGTGTTTAGTTTTCATGATGAAGTCTACATGGAGGCTAACAAGCCAATGTCGAAATAGGTCACTTTAAATCATTTGATTAGTGAACTGCTTCAGGAACTGTAAAAACTTTTTAAGAAATTTAGAGTAATATCTTAAGTTTTTACAGTTCCTGAAGCAGTTCACTAATCAAATGATTTAAAGTAGCCTATTTCGACATTGGCTTGTTAGCCTCCATGTAGACATGAATTATAAATTATGAATTTATAAACTTGCATTATGAAAGAATTTTATCATAGTTAAGAAATTCTAATGTTCTTAACATTGTATAGTATATGTGAATGATGATAAAACATTAAATCTTTTATGATCAATAGTGGAAAGTACTACTAATTTGTACAGTTATGAAGATTACTCTGCATTATGAGCTTAGTAAATGGATATAGTACCAAGCTAAATCTCAAGAATTGTTTCCGAGTTTGTCCAAAAGTGAAGGTGGATACCTTATGATACATCATATAAGTTTATTGTGTATTGATTTATGAAATCATAAATTTCCAGTTGCATTGTTACATAGAATTAGTTTCTCAAAGCTAATTTTAAGTTATAACCTATAGTCTAGTTTACTCTTGATCACAGTGTGGTGGTGCAGAAATAATTTTTAGTGTTGACATTTGAGCCAAAACTAGCTAAAATCAATATATTGATAGAAACACTTTGATTTTTTAGAGCAATGTGATGCATATTTTTCATTAAAAGTGTTTCGTACATTTTCATGGGCTCTTAATGATCTGTTCTGTAAGCCCAGTTAAACTGTGAAGTGTCTTTAATGTACAACAGTGTAATATTATAATATACTGTAGAAAAAAGGTTTAACTTGTTAAATGGACAAGCACTAGTGCAAACCTTCAACTAAAAACAATGTGAGTGGAGAAAATCTAATGGTCGTATGTTTTAATAGGGACTTGAGTGGATGTTTTTGTACAATAAAACTAACGGAAATCAATTTGTGAATAGATTCTTAAAAAAACTTAATTTTTTTTTTCATTTATTGTATGCTTGTGTATATATGTTAATATACTTTTAAATTCAAAATTTCTCTAAATAAATCCCAACACTCATTAGTTGTTTTTTTTTCAGCACAATTAAATGCACAGCTGAAGGCTTCAAAGTTGTTTTTTATTTTCAGCAAACCTATTTGAATAACTCACTTATTTCACCCCTATTTTCCTTTACCCAACTCATTGCTTTATAAAAGTATACCACATTTCTATGTTTTGGCCATTGTAGTAAAATGAAGTCTTTTTTTAGAAAAATAATCATTTAACATATGCAGTATTAGTGAACTTGGAAGTAATATATTTAAAGTTTAAGAAGTCACATCAATTATTGCCATAAAGAGTGACTGTTCTTACCCTGCATGTTCAAATCATCAAGTCTTGGTTAGCTTACTGCTCAAGTAAGGCTGACGTGTATAGTAAATAACAAAGCTCTCCGAACAGATTCCTTGGGGAAACCACTAATCACATTCATCATCCATTGTTTTCTACCATCAGTTCAGTTTTTAAATTTTCAAACAATTCCATAACAATGTTCCTAATTAATCTCCTCTGTAACACCATTTTGGAATTCGAGATTCATAACGTCAACTGGGGTTCTTCAACCTAAACTACCGATGTGCTATCAAAAAACTTCATGAAGGTAGTTAGGTGAGAAAAAAATTTATCTAAAATAATTTTATTTATTAAATGCCATTTTTATAAACATTGTTCAAGCATGAATTTTGGTGTGTGTGTGTGGGGGGGGGGCAACCTGGGTTGTAAAAAAAGTTAATTTTTTAATGATTGTACATATACATGGTTCTAACTGGATATCTTTACCATACCACATGGAAAAGAAACTGTTATATGCATAAAATGATAAAGATATACAGTGACTTTCATAAAGTTTAAAAAACACTTTTGTTATACATGTAAGAAATATTTGCTAAAGGGAAACAAAAAAAGTTTTTTAAAAAAACTGAAAATTGTCTTCATACTTCTTAACCAGTGCAGTAGTGCATGACAAAATTTACTCATAAAATATTTCCGATATGATATCTTACCTCCCCTCACAAAATAGCTTTTCTTTATTAGTACTGCCCTTTATTGGTGCAAATTTTCAATGCTCACCACCAGCCTTCCACCTCCTGCTTCTGCATATCCACATGCAAATTATCATGCAGCAGCTCTCCACCAATACGAATGTGACACACAACTCCTATCCAACCAACACCCTCTTACATTTGCACTTGATAAATCACTCTTCAGTTAGCAGTAGTACTAAGATTTATCAACGTTTTTTGTTATACTGCAAACTTAATTTTTCTTTACACTTTATTTAACTTTTTGTGTTTTGGTGTTGTGAAAGGTTTCTTTTTCAAACTTTTCTTACTTTTTTTCAGGGGCCTTTTTTGCTAGTGTATTGTTGGTCCTACTCTGCAAGTGGTGCCTGACCAGGTATACTTTTTTTTTTAAATCTGCACCGTATATCCTGCTACCATGCTTGATGTCAATTATATCATAGCCTTTCCTATTGTGAACCTGGTGTATAATTCCAGATGCCACCAGGTGTTGGTTGTGTATCTCTGTTCTATTATTATCTATGTCTAAACAGTTACGTCGCAGGATTGTACTATGTGCACCGTATATCCTGCTACCATGCTTGATGTCAATTATATCATAGCCTTTCCTATTGTGAACCTGGTGTATAATTCCAGATGCCACCAGTGTTGGTTGTGTATCTCTGTTCTATTATTATCTATGTCTAAACAGTTACGTCGCAGGATTGGATTATATGCACCATAGAAATGGGGTGTTCCATAGGATTGCTAGTAGTTCTCTTTTGTGGTTTTTTGCTTCAGAAGTATGTTTTTCCCAGATTGTAAACTCGTGGACTATCATGAGTAAAGCAGGCAGAGATCGCTATCCATTTCTTATGCTCCGCAGCATTGGTACTCTTCCTACCACAGACCTGATGTACTATTCCAGATAGCACCAGGTTTTGGTTGAATGACTCCATTGACGTGATAGCTCTGTTGCCAGGTTTGCCTTCCCACTATCTGTTGGATGTCGTTTCCTGGTAGACCTGGTGATGGTTGTAGCTGGACATAGCACATCTATTCTCACTTGTGGATGGCCAGGTATCCTTCTCCTACTGCAGACTGGAAGAACCATTCCCAAAGCACCAGGTTTTGGACCAGAAATATCATCCCACCAGGGCTTTCCTCCTCCTTACCATTTGCTAGATGTAGGTTTGTGATGGATCAGGTGTTGGTTGGGTTGGAAATGTGTGCAAGTGGGTACAGAAGCTTATCTTCTCTACTAGTTCCTGTTTCAAGGTGAAGAGGTGGGTGATCTGATGTACCATTCCAGATACCACCATGTGATGGATGAGGTTGAATTACCACTGTGGTCTGTCACACCATAGCCATTCAACACCTAGAAGTCCCATTCATTGGTCGTATGTATTCTGGGACTCCTTCATGTTTTTCTGCCTTTTATGTTCATGACACAGTCATAAAAAGGTGAAGAGTATACATAGATCAGATGTGGCATGGCATCCTGCTGAGGTGTGATGGTTTCTCTTTTGGTTACACACCTAGTGGTCTCTCTTCGGGCACTTCCTAAAGGGGATTTTTTTTTTTATTGGTCCTTCACCAGTTCAGTGTGGGATTCTAACTATTTTATGAGAGGAGGTCAGATATCGTGGTTGAAGTTAGCATTTCCGACAGATACTTACCTCTGCTCATATTTTCCACCCAGCCTTCCCACTTCCAGTAATATGTGGTGTAGTTCTTCTGACCAATTTCAAAGTGATTAATGAGTGCAGATATGAAGAGGGTGCTGTTTACCATAGGAGTGGTGTTGTGCTCCTATTGGTGGAGAATTGCTGCATGGTGACTTACATGTGGATTTGGAAAAGTGGGAGGTGGCAGGCTAGTGGTGTGCAGTGATAATTTGTGCCAAAAGAGGGCAATGCTAGTCGAGAAAACCTATTTTGTGAGAACAAATATCCAAAATACATTTTCAGTGTAGGAAAGTGCTAACGTGTCACTTTAAACTACCCTATCCACATCTTCACAAAATTCCATTGTTAAGATTAAGAGATACTATGAAAGTCTCTTAGCTGAAGACCTGAAGCATAAAGAGTTTATGTTAATGTCATCTGTAAAATGGAAGTTTAGGATTTGATGGGGGGCCTTTCTAATGGGAATGTTATTAAGTAATAATGGGAAGAACCCGATTAAAATATTGAATAATATTCAGGGGAGAAAAGTTACTGAACCTGAAAGAAAATATCATAAAACATTGGAGCATTTGGAAAAGCAATTCAAAAAATGAAAGTGAACACTAGATGGGATTAATAATTGCAACTCAGTCAACTAAGCTAGCACATCTAAAATACTACAAGTCTCTGTTGTCATTGCATTTGTTATTAAGGATAGAACTTGGCAGGACTCTGCCTATTCAAAATGGGATTTTGAGCTTGACAAGCTAATTGATAATAAGTTATTGACAGTATTCTTTAATATTTGCAACTTGTTTAAACAATTTTGTATATAATTACAGTACATTTGAAACAGTAATGTTTTTATTATGTGTATATTAAGTGGATGTGGTACTCTGTACTCTTTATTTTGGTATTTGTTGTGTTGAATTTAACTGTTTATTTTTTCAAACTTTGTAAATTATAGGAGAAAGGCAAAACGTAAATTGCTTGATGTACTATTTTATTAAATGACTACCTTTTCTTCCCCTTGTCCTGTTCAGAGTTTATCATAATTATACAAATATCTAATACTCTTTGCTTATGTCAATCTTAAATATATTTGATTTTCCTTTCTTATGTTGTTTATGATTTCGAGGTTATCTTTATGTGTTCAAACTTTGTTATTAGGAACTGAAGATGTTTCTATAAAAATGTCTTCTTTTTTGTTGTCTTCTGAAACTTTTCATTCTCACCATAAGTCTCAACATCTAAGTCCCTCCCTTGGCTCTTATCGAGGTGGTTCTCTTCCAAATGTTAACCAGATTGGGAACAACAGCATTGACCTTCAGGTAGGGAGATAAATTTTGGTGATTTAATGCAGTGTGTGTATATATATACAAATTTAATTTTATTTGTATATATCTAATTTTTCTGAACTGTTTTTATTTAAATTTGTCAATTAATGAACTCTCTAATATACATTATTGACACAAAAGTATTAAGAAAGGCTAAAAAAAGGAATATTTAACCAAGATATGTGTAGAAAAATATGTGCTTATAATAGACTAGTTGAAACAGGTAATGTGAGATATATATATGATAAGTATCAATTAGGTTTGTTTCTCTAGGTTTAAATTTTAAATATTTTGAAGAAATAAAACTGTCCAAAAGGAGCTGTGAATAGTATTAAGGTTTAAATTTTGAGTGAAATGAACCAATATTTTGGAATACAAAATCTTTCTGCAATTTCATGCATGTATAATTGTTTTACATGAAAAACAATTAAATTTACAAATTTTAAAGTATAAGAAAATTTTCATTTAAAATATTAAATTTGATTCTTTGTTTAAAAATCAATTTCTTTACAGTATATTGAGATACTAATTTCAATCATTTCACAGTTTCTTAGTGAAACAAAAAGTAACACCGTACGTGCGTATCTGGAATAACGTCCAAACACTGTAAGCAATGCTGTTGTTATTATTAATGTGTCTGTAGGCATGTGAATAGAAAATTTTGAATTTTCTGCCATTTTAAGTTGCTAAGCCTAATTTTGAATTTTTTAATTTTCTTCTAAGTAAAAAACAACATAATACATATAAGAATTTACAACTTTTTTGTTTGTTGTTAATAATGTATTTGGCTATATTGGCCATATTTGTCAATTAAAATAATGTGGGAGAAGGCTTCAAAAAGTATTTCTTATTATGCATTCTACTTGTGTTAGGGTCTATTCATTGCTAATTAACCCTAGAATGCCAGTGTGGGGTCAGTATGACCCCATACCGCTTGGTGTTAATTATAGAAAACTTTGCTCTGGCATTTTAGGGTTAAAGCTCAGCTTTGTGACAAAAGAAGCAAAAGCTCTGTGTGAAGGTACAGCATTGACAATATTATCCTCGCAGGCCTGATGAGCACTGGTATTGGGTAAAAAATCTTGTCAGCACTGAATAAGGCAGGTGTGGTGTAGTTGACATATTACTACGTATTCTTCTTTACTTTCACTTAAGTTCTTAAAATGGTGATTCTTCTCATCTGACAAAACAGTTTTTGGTACCTTGTTTACTGCCTGTATACTGAGAATTGTCTGACAGTTTCAGGTGTAGTGGATATTGTATTTCCTGCCTCTTGCAATTACTAGGTTTAACATTGTTTGTGTGGTTTTAAGGTAACTTTAAAAAAACATGTTATTTTATTGGTTATTTAAGTTTCTCTGTATCAGTTAGAAACACCCATGATTTTTTTACAGCTAAAACCATCTATTTCAAACACTTTTGTTACCATAGGAACTTCCTGAATAGTCCTTTTTTTAAGTTTGAAAAAGTCAAAAGTTGTCAAGAATATTTTTGTTATAGATGTAACTTAATTTGAATGTGTTAGAGGTGGTTTCCATCAAGAATATTTTTGTTATAGATGTAACTTAATTTGACTGTGTTAGAGGTGGTTTCCAGGAAAACGTTTTTTATTTTCTTTCTAATATCTGTAGTGTAATAATTTCGTAACCCATTTAAGTTTTGTATTTCAGGGTGCTTTGATAAGCCTTGAGGACATGAAGCAAGGCAGAGATCACTCTGTATCTGACAGAATGCACAGGGAACGAGGCCGGCAAGGATCACCACATCGGGCAAGACAGTTTCCGTTTGAAAAACATGTATCCTTTAAAGCTGCATGAATAATTCAGTTTTTAATGTAAATGGAGTACTCATAAAAAAATTAAATTAAAATTACATTTTTTTTTCTCCAGTGTTGTTGCATAACAAAATAAAATACTGGTTTCAATAAATCAAAACATTATTTTAACAATATGTCTTCATCACATCATTTATGGATAATTTTTTTATCAGTGAACCATAGTTTTATTAAAATTATTATTTTTTATTAGGCATGCCTTGAACCTTAAGCTACGGTATTTTTAAGAACTATGTTTAAGTTATAATCCTATGGATATCAACTAGTCTGACTTAAAGCTATGCTACAGTTCTCTGGGTATCAACTAGTCTGACTTGAGGCTATGCTACAGTTCTCTGGGCATCAACTAGTCTGACTTAAGGCTATGCTACAGTTCTCTGGGCATCAACTAGTCTGACTTAAGGCTATGCTACAGTTCTCTGGGCATCAACTAGTCTGACTTAAAGCTATGCTAAAGTTCTCTGGGTATCAACTAGTCTGACTTAAAGCTATGCTAAAGTTCTCTGGGTATCAACTAGTCTGACTTAAGGCTATGCTACAGTTCTCTGGGCATCAACTATGGTAAAGTATAGTTTTTAGTTGGAACTAAAGATGAAGTCGAGTTAGTTTTTGTCCCATGACTTATGATGATACTTTTTATCCACTTAATGGATTACACTCGTGTTGTAATTGTCATGATACTATAGTTTCAGTAAATGAGATCCAAACTTTCCAAAGATAAGTTTTTAAATGTAAATCTGATGCACGTGTGTTAACAAAATATGTATTAATGCTGGACGTTATCCTCGTGTGACTGTACATTTCTCTTAACCTGTTGTTCAGATAGATGTTTCACCATATGGATTAGCTGCTTATCTTTCTCCTCCTTCAGACACTAACTGGAGAAGGTAAATACAATTCTTTAAGTACATATGTAACTTGTGTTGATGAACTAAATGTTTCTGTAACGGTTATAAGTGCAGATTGTAATTTGGTATAAAAGAATAGATTATACAAATTACTGCACGTGTCTCATATTCACTACAAACATTATGTATATTTGTGTTTCATTTCTTCACTGTGGCAGCATTGTTTATTCTCTGTTCAGAGCAATTTTGTTATAATGCTGTGTGGCTCCTTTTGTTATAATGCTACAAATTGGGTTCAATACCTGTGGTTGGTACAGTGCAGATACTTTGTGTAGTTTTGTGCTTAATAACAAAGAAAAAAATATTACTACTATTCTAATTAATTGTATGATTTTGTGATTTATTATCTAAAACTCTTTAAGTTAGTTGACTTAGGCGCATTTTTTTGTTTAATTTTTTCTGACATTCTGAACAAGTTATGCTTTAATATTTTACTTGACAGATGTTTTTTTACATTTTCAGGAAAATAAATGGCATGATTACATTATATTTCAATATGGCTTTCGTGTTATTTGTAACTTCCTGAAATGTAAGCTCTAGTGATCTTTTTTAAATATTTGTTTTACATTAACTTCACAGAGATAACTTCAAACATACTTTTTGTCCTGTTTTGTTTTTTATCAAGTCTCGCTGTTTGATGATTACCTTTTGCTTATCTGTCTTTGTTTTCTGTCGACTTTTGATTCGTATGTCGTGAAGATTATTCTCTCGTGTCTATATTTTATTTGGAATAGGGTTGGCAAATTGATCAAATATTGATAATTGACTGATCATTTGGCAGTTTATCACCTGATGATTGTAAAATATGTTTGTGAATTTCCTTGACAAATATTGAATGGAATATATGAGAAAATATTTAGTTTTGAAACTTTAATGGTCTGCAATTGTCTGTTGAAAGAAAAGGAGACAGTTTTTTTTTAGTTTTTATACTGAGACTTTGACATTGTTTCTAGCAAGCTAGGATGTTGCAGTTTTTAATAAATCTTAGAAGACACGAGAAAAATGTCTGGTACACACTTATTGTCAAGTGTCAATACACTCATTATATGACTTCATTATATGACTTATTGTCAAGTGTCAATACACTCATTATGACTTATTGTCAAGTGTCAATACACTCATTATATGACTTATTGTCAAGTGTCAATACACTCATTATATGACTTATTGTCAAGTGTCAATACACTCATTATATGACTTATTGTCAAGTGTCAATACACTCATTATATGTCTTTTTGTCAAGTGTCAATACACTCATTATATGTCTTTTTGTCAAGTGTCAATACACTCATTATATGACTTATTGTCAAGTGTCAATACACTATGACTTATTGTCAAGTGTCAATACACGTATGACATGACTCTTATTGTCAAGTGTCAATACACGTATGACATGACTCTTATTGTCAAGTGTCAATACACTCATGATATGACTTATTGTCAAGTGTCAATACACTCATTATATGACTTATTGTCAAGTGTCAATACACTCATTATATGACTTATTGTCAAGTGTCAATACACTCATTATATGACTTATTGTCAAGTGTCAATACAGTCATTATAACGTTGATAAACAGTGAATATGTGTACTGTAATACAGAACTTGTTTTAACAATTGAAGGGTTAACGTTGATAAACAGTGAATATGTGCACTGTAATACAGAACTTGTTTTAACAATTGAAGGGTTAACGTTGATAAACAGTGAATATGTGTACTGTAATACAGAACTTGTTTTAACAATTGAAGGGTTAACGTTGATAAACAGTGAATATGTGTACTGTAACACAGAACATGTTTTAACAATTGAAGGGTTAACGTTGATAAACAGTGAA